GTTTTTCTTAAAAAGTATTCATTCAATAAAAATGGAATTTATAAAATAGAATAAAAATCTTTAGTTAGAATTATGAGGAAAAAAAACCATATTAATATTTATATATATAATTGATAACAAGTATGTAAAATCAGTTTTTTCTATTTCTTTCATGACTATACTCATTCATTAATAACTATTGATGATTTGGAAACAGAAAGATAACCTAATATATATACTTAAAAGACAGATATTATTATCAATAAAATCTATAATTAAAAAAATAATCTCTGAAAAAAAGTAAAAAAAAATAATATAATCTATAATCCTTAAATTTTTAAAGATTTTTCATGTAATTATTAGAAAATATGATAATTTTAGTTTTCATTTTTGTTATCATGTGGTTTGAAGTTTTAAGTGAGAATTATTATCTCTGGTTTATTTTGAATGTTATTAATCCAACTTTATCTGAACATTCAAGTCTCTATTATCGAATAAATTTTGATTGGTATCTATTTTGCAAGCACTGATACAGATAGTATAACTCTTCTTTATTTTAATTAGAACTTCTTTTCATTTTCATCTGTTTTACTATAAACATTTACTAATTCAAGCATATATTCAGATTTCTTTTCAGAATAAATCTTTAATTTTACAATTTGTTCATATCTTAATGAGAAAAATCAAATTTATTCTTATAATAATTCAGTAACTATAGTATCAATAAAAATAAATAAATATAACTAAATTTAATGTAAGTTAATCTTAATCCTATGTTGAACTTTTTAGATAGTATATTTCAATTTAAGGTTAAGTTTTATAATTTACTATGAATAAAAAAGGAAAATTAGAATAATTATATACTATATTTCTGCTTTTGAAGAATTATATTATCCTAAATTATACAAATAAAAATAAATACTACTTTGGCCCATATAAAAAATGTATCGCCTTCACTGCTTGTAACTTCTAATTTTATTCTTTATGTCAAGTTAATCAAAAAAACAATTAGATTATTGTTATGAATTTAAAAAATCCAATTAATATCTCAGATTTTGTAAAATAATAAATTTCTTAATAATTTACTAAATATTGATTTGTACAGAATAATTAAAAATTTTTCATATTTAGAACCAAGAAATTTGTGTTTCTTCTTGCTAAAATTGAAGCTCAGATATAAAATTACTTAGTGAACAAAAGTTTAGTTATTTTATCATTCCATAAAAGATTTTGAATTATTATAATGATTACATTACAAGAATTACAATCAATATATAACAACTGTTTCTAATTTCTTCTTCTTCATTATCCATTTTATTCTCTCTTTCAAGAACCTACTCACCTTCAAGCTTTTCTGCTATAGAAATATAAATTGCTTATATAAGATGAGGAAAATGCTAAAGACTATGAATATGATTTTTGAAAATAAATTGCATCCTCTTTCTTATTCTAAAGTTCTTTAAACATAATATACAATTTTTTTTCTACTTTTAATTAAATTTTGGATTAATTTCAATAAGTATTACTTAAATTGCTTTAAAGACGGGAAATTAATACATAATGTTTAATTTCATAAATTATGAATTCAAAAACTATTTTGAATAAATTTGCTTATGAATTAATAGAAAACGCATCATTTAGATCATCTCATTATTGTAATTTCATTGACATTAATAAATAAAATACTTTGTTATTAGCATCAGCAAAAGCCCTAGCAATGGTTTAAATATTTAGAATGGGATTTCTTAAATAATTAGCATTATGAGGACACTTGATCAATCTATTATAGTATGGTCAAAATAATTATTAGCTTCTTCTAAATATATATAAACATACAAAACGAATACCATAATGATGTAGAAGTAGGCAAATGGGATATTTTTTATTATTATGAAGATACTAAGAATAATGAACCGATGTTTTTAACTTAAAACTCCTTATTAATTTAGAGATATTTATATTTTCTTTGACATATTATATCATTATATTTCACCCTCCAATTTAAATATATTCCAATCAAAAAAGTTACAAATCAAATTTAACAATATAATTTAAATCAAAATTTTAGAATTTAATGGTCAATAAAATTATTTAGAATTTAAGAAACTTAATTATTTTTAATTAATAAATCTCATAAATGTTCAAATAAGATCTGTAATTTATAGTTTCAGTTATAAATTCATTGATTAGCAAATTCATAATGAGATAATAGACATGGGATCAGATTCTTTCATCAAAAATCTATTAGTCTACTTTTGATATGATAACATTGTTATATTTATCTTCCAGTTTTCTATTGTATTAAGTTTATAAAAAGTGAACTTCAATTATCTCAAATACAATCTTAAAAATAATTTTAATTGATGTTGGATTAATAAATACTAAATAAAAATGATAATTGGTAATTGGACTAACTCATATTTAATTGAACGCTTTAATATAGGTCCAAAGAAGGTTTGAAAGGACCCATAGCTTATAGTTTTATTGATAGTATCTCATATTTGAAATTGAATACAACAGTGATTTCATTATTTTATTTGTGAGAATTTAATCTAAGTTAAATAGAAATAAGAAATCCATATTAACTTAAAATTAAACAAATTCATATTTTTAGATAGCAATTATATAAGATTTTAAAATTTCTTGGAATAAATAAGGAATAAACATTCACATTTAGGGAAAATATTAGCCACAAAAATAAAATTAAAAACATCCATAAGAAAAAATTAATTTTCTGATTTGAACTAATTTAATTTTTGTTGTTCTCTTCAAAAAAAAGCGTTACTGTAATATTTCTTATTATATTTTTAATAATATTATTAATGGTTATAAATCTTTTGAGTTAAGTAAGATTAAAGTTATGAGTGTAAAAAGATATTATTTTTTTAATTTTACTAATTCTACATAGAATAGTTAAATATTGATCAATAAATTGATAATATCAATATTGAATTTCTAGGTATCAAAATTTTATAAGTGATTCCTCATTTTCTATCTCTAAAAGTAATCTCTTATTAGTTATATCTATTCACCTCTTATTGCATCATCTATTTATTCATATATTATTTATTTTTTAATGTCCAACTATTTTAGACTCTTTTGAATTGATAATATTTAAATCTTTATCATCATTAAGGAAAACTTTTAATGGATTTATTAATTATTCAATATATATTTGCTTAATTAACTATACAGAGGTGAATATATTTAATATTCAAATTAAGATATATATAAAAGTGAAGTTAATAATTTACTTTGTAAATATTTCAAATTTACTACTAAAATAAACTCTAACTGCTATTCTAATTTCAATTATTGATTTTTTATTTATATCTTATGAAAATCTCATTTATTATAAGCGTATTCTTTAAATTATAAAATACAATATTAGATATATATATATATGTAGTATGATATAATTTTAGAAATTTATAATTTTCATTCTCTACCTGAGGTAGAAGTATTACTTTAATAAATAAAGCCAGTTTTGGTTATATAATCTTGGTCCTCTGAATTCTAATATTTATGAAAAAGTATCCATAATTTAGATAAAATCATCCTTTCTTTTTCATAATTTAAAAATCTATATTAATTATGAAGAAAATAAGTAATTAAGTAACTTCATTCTATTAGATAGATCTGGAATAGTTCTTATGTTGTTTGTTCTTGATTTGCTTCCACACTTACATTTAATTTAACACATAGTTCTATCCATAATTTACATCTCTGTCAAAACCTTAAGCAATTTATATGATAAAAATTATTGCAAGTTATTTTGACTACATTACCATTATGAATCTACTTGCAACATAATTAAAAAATGCTGATAATTAATAATTTGGATTCACTTTAATATAAAATTCCATTAGATTTAAATTGAATTTCTTATAATTCAATTTACATTTCTACATTTTCAATACCAGATTTTTAATAATCAAAATCTTATTGGTTTGTATTTGATTGAAAGAGTTAAATAATTTGATCATAATCAGGTTTTTTTCTAACTGAATTTTTTCATAAGATATAAATTTATAAAGAGAATATTTGATTTAATAATTTATATCTAATTTCTTTTTTGACTGTTAATCTCAAAAGATTAGGATTCCATTAAGTTCCAATTTACGTTTAATATAATGTCTATCAAATTAAAGAAATTATTATTTAATTACTTTAATAAAGCACACATGATAATAATTTATCCCATTTGATTTATAAAATATATAATAAAATTATTGAAAGACAGAAAAATTTACAATTATAATAATATAGTTTGTTAATTAAAATAAACTCAATATTAGTACTTCTTAATTTTTAAACTTAAAACTAGCATCCATAAATACTATAAATATATATATATATATATGAAAATTCTTATTAATAAATTATTATATTATTAATCATTATACACCATTAGTAATTGTTTTGTTAAAGGTTTTCTTGATCCATTTATAAATTTATTAATTATATATTTTATACATAAATCAAATCAATAATTACTTAAATGGTCAGCTAGTTTATAATTATTTATGTTATTATATTGTGATTTGTTAGTAAGCATAATTAATATTTTCAATATAAATAGATAACATATAGAATGTTCAATTTGTAATTAACTATTTTGAAGAAATTGAGAAATGATTTAAAGTTGTTGCCTAATATAGAAAATAAGAATTTGGATTTTAATTATTGCATTGTTTTTTAGTTTTTCAAATCCTATTATTATGTCTCATAAATCGAATATCATTTAAAAAAAATTATTAATATATTTAATATACATACAATGAATCAAGAAAGAAAACATCACTTTTAAGATAAACATATTGAAATCCTATGGAGAATAACACAAGGTATGTGTAATTCATTAAAATAGATAATCAAATCTAAAATTAATAAATTTAATTTGAATACGTTTAGGCACAATACAATGAAGATTTAGGTTTTGGTTCTGGTTTTGGAGGCATTGTAAAAATGAGTAATGGATAAGAATATTTGGCTTTTCCTGACGAACAAGGTAAAGTAAATATTTTCGTTGATAATTAATGGGTGCCATTAGAAAAAAATTTAGCAGAATTTTAATAATACATCCCGGATTAAATCTAATAATAAATCCCATAATATAATTAACTTAATAATGAACCATCATTATATGTTGAAGTAAGAGATTAGAATAACTTCAATAAATATAGAGGACATATAACAGTTAGTGATTATGTATCGCAAACTCAAAGTCTTGGAGAAGAATTAGAGGATTTATATTTAGAAATAGAGAAAAATATTTAAAGCATTTTTGATAAGAATAGCTCTGTATATTTAAATATGACACATAAAGATCCTTAATTGGAATTCAAATTAAAAATGGCAAAAGGAAAGAAATTAATCGATTTTTTTATACCAATTAAATTAACTTTGGTGGAGTAAAATCAGGAAGAAAGAGAAAATTAAAAAATAAAATTAAATAAATAAAATAAGAGATTGGAAAATATTGAATAAAATGTGAACTAATTATAATAAAATTTAACAGACCATAGTTAAAGAATTGGATTCATATCACAAGAACTTGGAAATTAGAAAACAGAACTATCTAATAAAATATAAAATGTAGAATTAAGTTTTTAGTATCAATACCAAAAATTTCTTCAATAAAAGTAAAATCAATTTAAAAAATTTTCAATAAATCAAATGAAAAAAGTTAAAGAATATATCTATATAATTTAAAAACTTAAAGGGTAATGTGAATTTGAATTATTACTTGTTGATGATGAAATTGAATTTTAAGTTGGTATTATAGAAGATGATGATTTGGATAATATTGAAAAGAAAAACAAATCTTATTTTGTCGTATTACCTGATGGAAAATTTACAAGAGGAACTCGAGAGTTTGGAAAATTTTTCACTCATCAATTATAATTTGAAGACAAACTAGGATTAAGAGTTGACACATTTTAGCATACATTTTAACTGGTTATTAATGATTATCCTTTTCCTCCAGTCAAAATTAATAAATCAATATAGGAATATTCATTTATTATAAAAAGTTCTGAGAAGTTAAATAGATTTGCTGAAGACACAAATTAATCATGAATATAATTTGAATATTAATGTTCGTGCAAATATGAAAATTTATTATTCGTATGTTCATATAATATATAATCTAAAATGGAAGCATCTTTCTATTTTGTTCACTTTGACTTAAGTCTAAATATAAGTAAGATAGTTAAAATGAAGGTTGCAAATAACTTTTCAGATTTTGATGAATTGATTTTTTAAATAATTTTTATAATTTAAAGTGAATACAATCTCTTTTCATTACTAACTAAATGAATACAGAATAATAAGAGTATTACCCTATCAAAAAATTTCTCATAAAAAATGGATTTCAGAAAGATTATTTAATTCTTATCTACATTCTCCTTAACATGACTAATAAAGAGGTTTTCTTTAGCATTAAAGGAAAATAATATTTCCATTAATATAGGTAACAGAATTCTTAATGTATTCTTTTATATCAAATAATTTTACATAATTTAATATTATTTTTCAATTATAATAATTTTAAAATTTAATAAAATGACTTTATCTATACATCTTCATATTAGAGGAGCAGATGTAATGGTTGGAGATCTGATATATGAATGTTTAGAATCTATTCGAAAGGAAAATAGATTATGAAGATCAATCTTTAATAATTTCATCAATACGGAGGAACTGGATCAGGTTTACTATAAAGATTAACAGAGGATTATGGAAAGAAAATAGAAATAATGCATTTGTATTATATCCTTCCTCATAAATATCAAATAACTTTATTGATAGTTATAATGCAGTCTATTCAACTCGTATGATGACTGAATATTGTAATTCTGTTGTTGCATTTGATAATTAAGCCATCTAGAATGTTATTGATAATTAGACAGGATTGGATTATGTTGATTATAATTTATTAAATAATATAATTGCTTAGGTTATTGGCATGTATACAGGTATAAGAGGACATAAAAATACTTAATAATATGATGTTTTCAAATATGTGTCCATATCCTTCACTTCATTTCCTAACCCCATCAAATGGCAAAGGATTAAATATAAATAAATTGTAAAAAATCTAGTTTAAGAAGTTTAATTAAATTAAATTAAATTATTTTAGAGTAAAATGGTATCTTTTAAATTCCAATATGTAATTTAGATAAATCAATTAACTAAATCATCTATGTATATTAGAACCAAATGTAAAACATTCATCTTATTTACTTGATCAAAATATGAAATGAAGAATAATTATAAATAATAAAATAATTAAAATATGAATCAAATAATATTTTTGGAGCATTAACTAGTTATGGAAATTATTCAGTAACTTGGGATTAAGTTGGACAGAAATATTATAAATATGAATCATATTTAATTGAATATAATCAACAATAATTTTACAAATTTTATATCATAATAATTGGATTATGATATATATATATACAAATGATTATGATTATGTAATTATATATGGCTCATTTATTTTAAAAATCATTTCAATTTGTTTTTTAAATCATACCTAATTTGCTCCAACTAGAAATGATTTTCTTAAATAGAAGATATTACTAAATTGGTCCTAAAAGCTATAAAAAATAGTTGTATATCCATAAGGTTATTAATTAACTAATTAAATTACTCTTATATTTAATCACAATATATTAGAATAGAAACTCACAAAAATAAGATCTATTTCACTCGAATCCGTGATGATAAAACAATAAAATTTATTCAATATTTTTTTCTCAAATTAGAATTTAATACAGTGAATTTTACAATTAATAAAAATATATACTCGACTCCTAAACTTTATGATAAATGAATATCATAAAGTCTTTAATTATTGATTAAGTTTATAATACTCAAATTGTTAAATTAATTTCAGATCAATTATTGTGAGAGTAGAAATATTTAATAATTGAAATTTAACTATTAAATTAAAATTAAAATAAACTAGATGCATAATTAATTTTCAAGCCCTGTTATTTTTTTTTTAAAAAGAAAGTATAATATTATTGAAATTTCATGAATTTTTCTTTTATAATTTGAATTTGATCATTTCAATTGTGTGAAGATTAATACTTTCTAGATTCAAAGGAAAAATTTAACAAATTTATTTTAAATCACTTCCGAAAGAGAAAACAATGGTGAGGTATAAAATTTGTGAAATAAAGTATTCTGAGACAATATCAGTTTATTTTTCTATTTTCTTTTTGAAATAAATGAATCAATCCTTTATGTTCTTTACTTTTTTTAGGATCATCTGATTATCATAAAACATTATTTATATATATGTATGATTATTTATTTAATTTTGATTAAGAATCTACAACCAACCTTTTTTATAACAGTATAACAAATCAAATGCTGCATTTTCTATAGTATTCCTTTCTAAGATCAATTAATAGTCTTCATAAATCTAATTTTATCATCATCTTGATGGTTTCATTCAATTTTTCTATTTGTGATTTTATTTTTGAGTAATTAAGAAACAAATTGAAAGTAAATTTTTTTTTCTAAATCCCTAATCATTTTAACATCTAATCAGTATGTTTAGATTAATTCAATAAACTTTTCAGCTTCCTTGTATTCGGTATTACTGAGTAAAGGAATATCAAGAAGTATGATATCAACTTTAATTTGAAGGTATGGTCACAATTTTCTAACCATCATAAATTAACATGGTTGTATGTTTATTTATAAGTAATTCATAATGAAGACAAAATATCTTTA